ACATGAGTAGAATGTGTCCTTTTATTTAAAATGCATCTCTGAGTTATTTGTGGGGCATAGGAATTCGTTCATTTCCCCCCTTCAGAATATAGTCTGGCCCCCCACAAGGTCTGAGGGACAGTGGACTGGCCCCCTGCTGAAAAAGTTTGCTGACCCCTGGTGTCTCTCTCTCTCTCTCTCTCTCTCTCTCTATATATATATATATATATCTGCTGTCTGAAAAAGGACTTTCTTTAATCCATCCTGAATTCTGCAGCATTCGTCTTCACTGAATGCCCATGAATTTGAGTGTTATGAGAGGGAGGAAAACTTTCCTCCGTCCGCATTCTCCACGCCGTGCATAATTTTATAAACTACAATCACGTTGCCTCAACTGCCTTTCCTGCCAGGGAAGAGAACTGTGCAAGGTTCCCCCTTTGGGGGGAGGGGGGCTCCCTGACCATGTTGGCACCCTCAGTTTATCTGTTTGCCACAAATGGCTCTCCACACAAACACAGAGCCTCGCCACATGCCAGGTGTCCCAGCCCCTTGGCACAGGGCAGGGGAGGCCACGTCAAAGGAATTTTCTGGTCTTTTTGCTGGGGGAACACGAAGAAGAGCGGGGGCCGCATGTGCGAACCCTTTCCTGGCAGGCTGGGGCTCCTTTCCCCCTGCCTCTGCCACACACTGGGCCCCCCACAGTCTGCCACAGAGCTGCCTCTTAGGTGCCTGTTGGACACGCTTCCTGCCAGCTCACCTTCCTGGCAAGTTCCTCTCACCAGCACGACAAACAAGGCAGCCATTGTCCGGCTCAGGCCGGCCGGCCTCTGAGCCGTCTCTGCTGGAGTTTGGTGCGAGCAGCCGCCAGACCAGGAAGAAAGGGAGGTGGCAGGATCCACCCTGAGGAGGGCAAGTGCCAGTGCCCTCTCGGAACAGCGCCAGAGGCTTCCTTGGGCAGCTGCCCACTCACAGGGCTCCCTCCCAGCTTCTCTGCGCTGGGCCTCTCGCCTGGCAAATACAGGCACTCATTTGCCATGGAGCAAGTCAATGCTCAGCTAGCTTGTCCAGTCAAGCTGTTTCCAATCCCTGTTGGACTTCTGACTGTGCTCACGTTCTCTGACATGATCATCGAACTGTAGAGCTAGAAGGGTCCCTGAGCGTTATCTAGTCCAACCCTCTGCAATGCAGGAATCTTGATCACCCGCGACAGATGGATGGCTCTCTGGCCTCTGCTTAAAAATCCCCAAGGATCCCATCGGTTCCCTCGCAGAGTTGGCTAGATGCGCTCTTTGCCTTTGTTTCTCCTCTGCCGGGTTCGTTTCTGGGCATCAGTTGGGCAGCCAAGGTTGGCACTGCTCTTTGGCAATCCCTGGGCAACGCAGAGCCGCGCTGCAGCTCAGAAAGCCCCCCCCCTGCCCAACCCCTTGGCCCTTTGCTTCCCCTCCTCTTCTCCCCTCTCCTGTCTGCTTGGAACGGGTTTTGCAATCTTTCCAGCAGCCCAGCCTCCTCATTCCTCTCTGGCAGGCATGGGGGGGACGGTTGGGGCTCCCCCTCAGGTGTTCCGGAGGAGGCAAGCCAGGAAGCCCAGCCTTCCAAGAAGAAACTGATTCCAGCCGCTCCGCACGGCCAGAGCCAGTTGCGTAGGAGGAGGAGGAGGAGGGCTGGAGCACCTCTTGCGCACCCTCCTGCCTTGCGCACTCTCCTGCCTTGCACACACCGCCAGGAATGCTGCTCCCCAAGGACCAACTAATGAGAATTCCAATGTTGTGAGGCAGCTGCTGCCTTTCTGGTTTGGGATGCTTCTGAGGAAGAGGCCGGGCTGCGCATCAGGGAGGGAGGGAGGGAAGGAAGGGGCACCCCCCAGGTGAGCCAGCTGGGTGCTGCCAGGTGGAAAGGTGACCTGTTTTGACTTTGGACTGGGTCACTCGGCGGCTCAGGAGGCGCTGTGAGGAGCAGCGGTGAAGAAAGCTGGGACTTTTTATAATAAATAATAATAAGTAATTTTATTTATACCCCGCCCTCCCCAGCCAAGACCGGGTTCAGGTCGGCTAACACCAACTATAAAACCAATTGATTAAAATACAACTTAAAAACAAAATTAAGCAAAATGTTAAAATGCAGCCTCATTTCAGTAGAAACTCAAATCAAAAACTTTTTGAGGATGAAAACGTCAAATCTTCACTGAGGCCGACTATCCAAACTGGTCCTACATGGGCCAGAAAAAAGCCAGGGAAGTCCCCAAATAGGAGTTCCATCGCAGAAGGAGGAAGGATAGAGGGGAAGGGGATCAAGTTGATTCCAAGCCAAAGGCCAGGCGGAACAACTCTGTCTTACAGGCCCTGCGGAAAGAAATCAGATCCTGCAGGGCCCTGGTCTCATGAGACAGAGCGTTCCACCAGTGTTGAAAAGGCCCTGGCTCTGGTTGAGGCTCATCTGACTTCCTTGAGACCCTGGACCTCGAGGGTGTTGCTATTTATGGACATTAAGGTCCTCCGAGGGGCATACCAGGAGAGGCGGTCCCGTAGGTACAAGGGTCCTAGGCCATGAAGGGCTTTAAAGGTCAAAAGCAGCACCTTAAATCTGACCCTGTACTCCATTGGGAGCCAGTGCAGCCGGAAAAGCACTGGGTGAAGATGCTCCCATGGCAGGGAGTTCAGAGGCAGCGCAACAGAAATGTGTAAAATTATGCTTGGTGTAACTCATGGGCTTCCAATGAAGCTGAGCATTGGAAGATTCAGGACAGATAAAAAAAGGAAATCCTTTTCATGCAGCTTGTAGTTAACGTGTGGAACTCCCTGTTGTAGGAGACCAGGGATGTCCACTAACTTGGGCGGCTTTAAAAGAGGATCAGACAAATTCATGGAGGAGGAGATGGCTATTGGTGGCACTCGCCACAGTGACTACAGAGGCAGCAATGTTTCCCACTGGGGCAGCTGGTCAGCCACTAGGAGAACAGGGTGCAGGATTAGATGGGCCACAGGCCTGATCCAGCAGTCTCTTTTATATATATATATTCTTGGTGTTCTATTTGATTAAAAACAACTCTTCATCAAAATTTTTTTCCTGATTAAGCAGGCAGCAGATTTTAGAGTGTTACAGTGGTACCTCTGGATGCGAACGGGATCTGTTCCAGAGCCCCGTTTGCACCCAGAAGCGAATGCAACCCGCGTCTGCACATCTGAGGCTTGCAATTCGGCGCTTCCGCGCATGCGCATGACGTCATTTTGAGTGTCTGCACATGCGTGAGCGGCGAAACCCAGAAGTAACGCACTCCGTTACTTCCAGGTCGCCGCGGAGCGCAACCCTAAAATATTCATCCTGAAGCTACTTCAACCCGAGGTATGACTGTACTATTAAAACTCTTCGCTTCAGAACTGCATATTTATCTCTTAAGTCAGAAGCTGTTGCCTTCTGCCGATTCAGAGTCGTGGTCCATCTCGCTTGGTGCCCGCCCCCCCCGCCCCCCCGGAATAGCAGGTGTGGCTCTATCCCAGCCCTGACCAGGGATTTAAGAGCAGGGGAGCATACAGGTGCAAAGGAAGAGCTCTCTGCTGCTGAGCCATGGCCTAAAAGCCATAGTTATAAGGTTTATTAGAAAGCATTGCTAATAACAAGGCCAGTGGAAATGATGATATTCCAGCTGAACTATTTAAAATTTTAAAAGATGATGCTGTTAAGGTGCTACACTCAATATGCCAGCAAATTTGGAAAACTCAGCAGTGGCCAGAGGATTGAAGAAGATCAGACTACATCCCAATCCCAAAGAAGGGAAGTGCCAAAGAATGCTCCAACTACCACACAATTGCACTCATTTCACACGCTAGCAAGGTTATGCTTAAAATTCTACAAGGCAGGCTTAAGCAGTATGTGGACCGAGAACTCCCAGAAGTGCAAACTGGATTTAGAAGAGGCAGAGGAACCAGAGACCAAATTGCAAACATGCGCTGGATTATGGAGAAAGCTAGAGAGTTCCAGAAAGACATCTATTTCTGCTTCATTGACTATGCAAAAGCCTTTGACTGTGTTGACCACAGCAAACTATGGCAAGTTCTTAAAGAAATGGGAGTGCCTGATCACCTCATCTGTCTCCTGAGAAATCTCTATGTGGGACAAGAAGCTACAGTTAGAACTGGATATGGAACAACTGATTGGTTCAAAATTGGGAAAGGAGTACGGCAAGGCTGTATATCGTCCCCCTGCTTATTTAACTTATATGCAGAATTCATCATGCGAAAGGCTGGACTGGATGAATCCCAAGCCGGAATTAAGATCGCCGGAAGAAATATCAACAACCTCAGATATGCAGATGACACAACCTTGATGGCAGAAAGTGAGGAGGAATTAAAGAACCTTTTAATGAGGGTGAAAGAGAGTGCAAAATATGGTCTGAAGCTCAACATCAAAAAAACGAAGATCATGGCCACTGGTCCCATCACCTCCTGGCAAATAGAAGGGGAAGAAATGCAGGCAGTGAGAGATTTTACTTTCTTGAGCTCCATGATCACTGCAGATGGTGACAGCAGTCACGAAATTAAAAGACGCCTGCTCCTTGGGAGAAAGGCGATGGCAAACCTAGACAGCATCTTAAAAAGCAGAGACATCACCTTACCAACAAAGGTCCATATAGTTAAAGCCATGGTTTTCCCAGTAGTGATGTATGGAAGTGAGAGCTGGACCATCAAGAAGGCTGATCGCCGAAGAATTGATGCTTTTGAGTTATGGTGCTGGAGGAGACTCTTGAGAGTCCCATGGACTGCAAGAAGCTCAAACCTCTCCATTCTGAAGGAAATCAGCCCTGAGTGCTCCCTGGAAGGACAGATCCTGAAGCTGAGGCTCCAAGACTTTGGCCACCTCATGAGAAGAGAAGACTCCCTGGAAAAGACTCTGATGTTGGGAAAGATGGAGGGCACAAGGAGAAGGGGATGACAGAGGACGAGATGGTTCGATAGTGTTTTCGAGGTTACCAGCATGAGTTTGACCAAACTGCGGGAGGTAGTGGAGGACAGAGGTGCCTGGCGTGCTCTGGTCCAGGGGGTCACAAAGAGGCAGACACGACTAAACGACTAAACAAAAACAACAAAAACATAAGGTTTATTTGGCAAGGTGACGGCTCTGCATCCTCGAGATCGAGGTGAATTAGTGCAGAGGACCTGCCAGTCTTGGAGGTGGCATTCCTCTGAACACCAGCCACTCGGGCAGCAGAAGAAGCAAGGACTGTTGCCTTCAAGCCTGGCTGTGAGTTTGGTAGAGGCACCTGCCTGTCCCCTCTTGGAAACAGGGTGCTGGTCTAAGTGGGCTGTCAGTGTGATTCATCAGGGCTCTTATTTTGTAATCATAAAGAGCAAGGAGAATGACTTGGGAAGTGGTGGACAATCCTTCAGTGGAGCTTTTTGAAAATAGGTTGGGTGGCCACCTGTCAGGGATGCTTTAGTTGAGATGGCTGCATTGCAGAGGGTTGGACTAGATGAACTTTGGGTGCCCCATTCTACTCTACAATTCTGTTGCTCTCCAGCTTTACCTCTGTCTTAACAAGGTACATAGTGGGGGCGCAAACCATCATCTTTACTGCTTTTAAACCACCCAAATGCAACTGCTGCAGGTTGTTGTAGCAGTTGGGCTGGGCTTGCTAAATTATTGGATGTTAGCTTGCCAAACCTCGGGTGCCCTCTGTGCCACCCTGCCTGCTACTTCCCCTCCTCCCTGGGCATTGTGCCCCCAGCCATGGCACATGTGTGGCCTGCAGACCCCTGGCCCCCACCCCGCAGTATCTAACCTGAGCAGCTACAACAGCAACATATACAGGGCCCCTAAGCGGCAGGGCGGCAGCTGCACATCTGTTGAGCACACAACCCATTCTCTGCCACTAGCCCTGCCTCAGTTTCCCTCGTAGGAGAGAGCACAATCCAGTTCAAACCCTGGATCCCTCGGAAATATGTTCAGAACCTGTGGCTCCATGGAGCCCTGTAGCATTTGAAAAATCAGCTTGTTCCTTGAAGCAGTCGCGCATTCTGTGCCAACTTACAGAAAAGTATGCCAAGGCCTTTATTGACTGGTCCAGGGGGCGACTTGGGGGGGGGGAGGTGGACAGTGGAAGGGGAAAAGCAGCAGGGATTTTGTTTTGAAGAATAATTCCAAAACATAATTATTTGTTGCATTTTTTATCTAAACCACTTAAGGTTTTTTTTTCATTATTCTATTAAGGCGGTATCATTTTTTACAAACAAAATACATTTCTTCCTTAGATTCACTACTGTATCTCTAAACTGCAGATTGACCCAAGGAATCCTGAGCATCTTAGTGTGCTCTGAGTCCTGAGATTTCTACCTCTAGAGCCACTCCTGCCCCCCATCGCCCCACAAGACGACAGCTCCTAAAGAGAGACCGGCTGCTTTGGCCAGGTTAACATTTGCAGTCTAGTTCCCCCAGGCAAACCAATTCTCAGGCTACCGTTTCCCTGCCACCCTCAAGGAGGGATAAGGAATTCTCTGTCTCCATAAAGCAGGAAAAAGTCTGTTCCGCCCTGCCCTTCCCACAAGCACCCAAGGGACACATGCATGTATAATGAGCAGGAGGCCCCCTGCCGCACCTCTGCCTGATGCCCTGCACCAGAACCCCAAGTGGTCACTCTTGAAGCTACAGCCCCAGCCTGGCCCCCGGCAACACCAGGAGAGCCAGCGAAATGGAAGAAGAGACCTTTCCCTGCAATCTCTCCTGATTGGCACCACACACAGAGAGAGAGAAGCTGGCACCTGGCACAGTGGCCCTGGGCCCTGCACCCCTCTCCCTCGGCCCCCGTGGGGGGCAGTCCTGCAGCAGGCCGGAAGTGACAGAGCCACCCCAGGTCGGGTCGGGGTGAGGGTGCGTTTGGATGACTTCCAAGCTTGTCATTCATTCACACAGCTCCTTCCTGCCTCTGACACTCTGTTTACAGAACCTCCCAGAATCCCACTCATAAAGTACGGAAGAAAATAAACACAGGGGCTGGAAAAGGCAGAGAAGAGAAAGGAACCCGTGCGGGGGGGGGGCAGGGCAAAAATGCCCAGCCAGCCCCCAAACCTTGTGCGGGAAAGGGTGTTCCAACTCAAGGAGAAGGGAAGACCGCCAGACTCTTTCCCTACATGTTTGTTCCACGAGGCAACCCACATCTCTCATCCCAGCCCAGCATAGGGGCCCCCGGAGTCCATGCCTGACGCCAGCAGTGAGGGAGCTGCCAGCCCTTGCTGGCTCTCCCAAGCCTCCTTCTCCAGCGTCGGCCAAGACACCCCAAAACCCCCTCCTCCTGAATCTTGGCTCAGAGTTCCTCTCCCAGACCTGCTTTGCTTGGGAAGCGGGAAGGGAAAAGGCAAGTGGTACTGAGCCCATCGGGGGGGGGATGTGCAGCCCCCCCCAGGAGTGAGATTTGGGGTGCCATTAAGCTCAGCAGAATAGAGGACCGCTAGGCCCCCCATCCGGCTGGAAGCTGCCTTGACGGAGGCCCATAGAAACGAGGTGCTCTTTTGACGCGGCTTTCAGAGGAATACTCCCTGGGAATGACAATGAGATAACTTAGTAGTGGCAAGGGAGGAAAAACACTCTGCACATGCTCTGTCCCAGAGCTGAACCCAGATCACTGTACAGGAGTGCCAGGCCAGGCAGGCAAAGGGGGGGGGTAGCCCCTTGCATTGGTCCAAGGAGAGGGAGCCTGGGCCCTGCCTGGGTTGCCAACTTACCAAGGGGAGCTGCTGCCTGGGTACCAACTTGAATAAAATATTGGGGCCCCCGCATAATCGACCACGCACCACTTGAATGACAATGCCCATTAATTTTGGGGGAGCCCAGGGCCCTCAAATATTTAAGGGGGTGCAAAGACCCCTCGAGCCCTAGGAGTTGGCTCCCACCGAGCTCCGGAGTCCGTCTGCCGCGTCTCCGGCAAGGCTCCCAGCCCGACTTGGGGACTCGACCCGGGACTTCGTCCATGCCCAGCGCAGGCTCTGTCCGTGGGGAGGCGCCACGGAACAGGCTTCCGAGCTGCCCCTCGCTGCTGGGCATCGGGCCAGCGAGTCAGGCCCCGCCGCTAGAGGAGGGCTTCGCTTTGCACAACAACCCTGCGAGGTAGGCGAAGCTGATGCGCCACTGGCGGCCGCCTTCTTGCGCGGGACGTGCAGGAAGGAAGCGCGGACGGGCGACTCCTGGCTGGCCCGTGCAAGTGGCCAAACCTATGAGTGCGGCGCGCTTGGCGGAGTCTCCCCGCTCCCGGCCCCGCCAACTTCTCCGGAGAAACTCCGGCTGCAAGCGCGAACGCGGAGCCGGAGAAGCGAGCGAGCGAGCCGTCGAGGGAGCGGCCAGCTCGGCGGCGGACTTACCGACTGGGCCGGGCGGCGACTCGGGAGCGGGGCGTCGGGGTCTAGAGCGCGGCGCGGCGGAGGGGTGACTGCCGGGGGGCGCGCTCCATCGCCGGCTGCTCCTCCTGCGCGTCCTGGCCGTGCGCTGCTGCCTCCTTTGCGCGGCGCCCGAGCGAAGGCGAGACGGGGCGGGAGGCGGGTCCGGCTGGCGAAGAGGCTCCTCCGACGGGCGGCCGCGCCGGATTGGCTGCGGGGCCGCGGAGGTGGAGCCGGGGAGCTGCTCCGAGGGGCACCCGGCGGCGGCGGAGGGGTCTGCGGAGCGGGCTGCCTCCTTGCCAGTCCCCGGGCCGGCGGGCTGCTCCTCTCCTCTCCCGCCGCCACCCCGGCACAGGTTTGCTCCTGCGGGAGACCGGCAGGCTGGCCGGGGGCAGATGCGACGCCTCCTCGACGGGCCCCGACTGGAGACGGCGGAGAGAGGACCACTTCGCCCAGCCAGGCAGTGGCCTCTGGCCGGCAGCCCTGTGCCGACGCGGCTCCCGCCATAGGCTGCCTTTGAGCCCCGGGAGGTGTTGCAGGGGCGGGGGTCTTCCTAGTCCCCTGCCTGGGGGGCCTCCGGCTAGCCAGGTGGCAAGGAGGAAGGAGCCGGGACAAGGCAGTGGCCCTCTGGCCTGATCCAGGGCTCTGTTGCTGCTCTTTGGTCCACGGCCCAAGAGAAGAGGACAAGTTGGGGTTAGAGACGTCTTTTCTGGGGGTGTCAGCTGAGGGCAGCAAGTCTACAGGTGATTTCATCTGGAGTGAACCCCTTTTTGGAGCTCTGTGACTCCGCTCCTGTGCTTTGGGCTGGGCCTCCTTGGCACTGAGCCCTTGTGCCCCCTTTTCTTTGGGTCAGCTTTCCAACTGCTCCTCACTGGCCTTCCCTGGAAGTCCTGGGCAGTTCAGGTGCAGAGGCCTGGAGGTTGAGGAACGCTCTTCCACCTCCAGGTCGCCCTTGGGATTCTGCCTCTGGGGAAGGGAGTCGACCAGGGGGGCCTGGCTGCCTGCTGGGCCAGTCTCTCCAGGGGCTCAGCAAGAGCAGGAGATGAGGGCTGGCTGCCACAATGGCCATGATCCACCCTCCAAGCTTGGAGAAAGCAATGCTTCTGAATATTGCAGGAGGGGAGAGAGCTCTTGTGCTCAGGTCCTGCTGGCAGGTTTCTCTTGGGGGGGGGGAGTTAAGGGGGATCCAGGTGCCCCGGCTGTGTATCGCAGAGGGTTGGACTAGATGACTCTAGGTGTCCCTTCCAACTCTACAGTTCTAAGATTCTGGACTAGCTGGACCACCAGCCTGATGCAGCCGGCTCTCCTTATGAGACTCTCGGGACTGAGGAGCCTAGCAAGGCCCCCCTGGCCCTTGAGAGCCCCATGTGCCAAAGAGAATTCTCCCGGTCTGGGAGCAGGCTGCCCCCCTGCCCAGGGAATGGCACCAGGAGGGGAGTCTTCTCAGCCACCCCCTCCTGGCTCCCCTCTGGGGCAGCACTGAAAGATTCCAGCCAGACACAGTGACACAGCCAGGGCGCCTAGAGCACCCTGAATTCCAGGCCCCAGCCACTCTCTGGGGGCAGATTCTGGGGGTGCCTGTAGGAGGTTTGAATCCAGTGCCCAGAGGGAAGCGGTGGGCTCCCCTCCCGTAGACTCCAGTGGATGTCGGATGGGGAAGAAGAGCCTTCAATAATGTCCCTTCATCTTGCAATAAAAGAAATGGCCCTGTAATATGTCACATGTGTGAAATGTGGACAGCTCAGTTGTTGAGAACGTGGTGCTGATAATGTCAAGGTTGTGAGTTCAGTCCTCATATGAGACAGCTGCATATTCCTGCCTTGTGGGGGTTGGACTAGATGATCCTTAGGGTCCCTTCCAACTCTACCATTGTATGAGAGTAGGGGAAGGTGTGTTCCTTCGTTCTTCCGGGGGGGGGGATTTGTCCAGAAGCAGGTGCCCATCCTCGGGTGAGCCTGGCCTGTCCCCCTTCAATGCAGAGGATATTCCTTTTTTAAATATATATTAAAAATTATTAGTTTTTTTAACATATCATTTTCAAATAATTAAACATACTTTTACCTCGTACACAATTTTTTTTGGACTTCCATCAATCACATCTGAAAATTTTCCAATCTATTCACTTAATATACATTTCTTACTGTCACTATTACCTTTAAAATATTATAACTAATCTCTCTTCTTTCTCTATTTTGCAAGATTTCATATATTTCTCCTTACAAAACTTCTTGCAGTCCTACTAGCGTAATTTGTTGATTACAGTTGCTCTTCAAGTATTTCGTATATTTCTTCCAATCTTCTGTAAATCTCTGGCCCCGCCGGTTTCGAATCCTTCCAGTCATTTTGTCTAGTTCTGCGTAGTCCATTAATCAACGCAGAGGGTATTCCAGACCAGGAGGGCACTGCCTGAATGCCCAGAACCAGCCAAGGACTTGATTCAGAAGGCACGGCAACACCCACAAGGGTCTCAAGGTGGCGGCTTCAGCAGCCGCGCTGCTTGCCTCAAACAGCCCAGCGTTGCCCCTCCAAGCGTCAGCCTAGGTGTGACCCCCAAAGGCCCTCGGCAGCAGTGCCTCCTCTCCCTCCCTCGGCAAAGGGAGCCAGCAGGTCACCCCCTCCCCCACCTGGGCAACCACAAAAATGTCCTCTGGAACCTAATATGCCGGCCTTTGTTCTCTCCCCAGTGAGAGAGCCCTGGTATTTGGCTTCCCCTGCTGCCTTTATCTTAGGTCAACAGAGGGGCTGAGGGCTGCGCCTCCCTGTCTGCTCCCTCAAGTGCTTTTCTCTTTCTGTTGCCCCGCAAAACAGCCGTCAGCTGCTGCCACCCTGGAGAAACTGGACTGCCCCCCCCCGTCAGATGCCAGGAACCCCATCACTCGTTCTTCCATTCCTTGGGGAGGGGGTTATGGAGATAATCTTGTTGAACCCCCTACAATGTCCAACATGGGGCTCAAATTCATGGCCCTGAGATGATGGGCAGCAGCCCCCTCCCTCTGGCCGCTGCTCTGGGCAGGAGCCCCTTGTCTCCTGAGGCCCAGAGGAGATGGGAGAGTGCCCCCCCCCAGAAAGGCAAGCCCCCTTCCCTCTCCTCTTTCCATGCGCTTGGCTCAGAAGAGGCAGCCTTGAGAACCTCGAGGGGCCGAAGCAGGTGGCCAAAGCCCCACACCCCATTGTTGTCCTGGGGGGTAGGCTCCGGAGGGGGCTCCTCCTCAGACGGAAGGCTCTTTCAAGGGCTGTGCAAGGCTGCGAGTGCCTGGGGGCCTGCTCCTGAGTTGAACTGTTGGGCACACACTTGGCAAGATGCCCGCTGGCGCAGCTCCCAACGTGGCAGGGCCAAATTGTCCGCTTTGAGAGTGACAGATCCGTCCTCCTAACTTGGCAGGGTCTGTGAGCCTCGGCCGAACCCCATGAGAAACACACACACACACACACACACACACAAAAGCACCACAAAAACACACACACACAGTTCTGGTTGGCCCGTGCTAGCTCTTTGTACGTGCCCAGAGGGCTTCTGGCTGGCACGTCCTACTGCGGCTTCTTGGCAGTTGTATCTGCAGGTGGGGTGCCCAGGTAGCTTCTCCCTATAGCTCTTCTCTGCCACGTACTGCGGTAAAGAAGAACAGGCAAAAGCGGTGCTTGAGTCACAGACGGAACAAGGAACTGGATCTTAGACAAAAGGTGTCAGGCAACTGGCTGGCACAGAAATAATCGCTCCTTCCCTCACTCACCCAGCTGGTTTTGACCTTGTGTGTTCGTTTGTGTGAGGGGGGCCCTGCTATGTCTCCCCTGCCAAGGTGATAATCTGCCACCTTCTTCCTTTGTGCTGCATCCAGGGAGCAGGGCACTGTGGGGCAGGACCCTCCCTCTTGCTCCAGGCCTTACTATTCTCCCCTCCGGGCACAGCTCCTCTGCCAGCGAAGTCTGGCATAGCCGCTTCCCGGCTTGCTCTCTGATGGGGCTGAGCACTAAACTGGGGTGTATGCTTCCCTTCTGGTCTTTTGCACCTTCTCTGCCTCCCCCCCCCCCCCGCCTGCTGGAGATCGAAGCCCCTGCGTGGACCTGGCAGCTGAGACCACTACCATGAGGCTGGGGAGAGCCTGCTCCCCCTGCCCTCCAGTCAGTTTGGGGGTCTCTGCTGTTGGTCCCAGGCCAGTGGTTATTTGGGGGACTTTGGACTAAACACCAGGAATATTATTATTATTATTATTATTATTATTATTATTATTATTATTACCCATCCGGCTGGGTTTCCCCAGCCACTCTGGGCAGCTTCCAACAAAGTATTAAAATACAGTAGTCTGTTAAACATTAAAAGCTTCCCTAAACAGGGCTACCTTCAGATGCCTTCTAAAAGTCTGGTAGTTGTTCTTCTCTTTGACATCTGGTGGGATGGCATTCCACAGGGCAGGTGCCACTACTGAGAAGGCCCTCTGCCTGGTTCCCTGTAACTTGGCTTCTTGCAGAAGGCCCTCGGAGCTGGACCTCAGTGTCTGGGCAGAACGATGGGGGTGGAGACGCTCCTTCAGGTCTATTGCGCCAAGGCCGTTTAGGGCTTTAAAGGTCAGCACCAACACTTTGAATTGTGCTCAGATACGTACTGGGAGCCAATGTAGATCTTTCAAGACCGGTGTTATGTGGTCTCGGTGGCCACTCCCAGTCACCAGTCTAGCTGCCGCATTCTGGATTAGTTGCAGTTTCCAGGTTACCTTCAAAGATAGCCCCACGTAGAGCGCATTGCAGTAGTCCAAGCAGGAGATAACTAGAGCATGCACCACTCTGGCGAGACAGTCTGCGGGCAGGGAGGGTCTCATCCTACTAGATGGAGCTAGTAGACAGTTGCCCTGGACACAGAATTGCCATGCACCTCCATGGACAGCTGTGAGTCCAAAATGACTCCCAGGCTGCGCACCTGGTCCTTCAGGGGCACAGTTACCCCATTCAGGACCAGGGAGTCCCCCACACCTGCCCGCCTCCTGTCCCCCAAAAACAGTACTTCTGTCTTGTCAGGATTCAGCCTCAATTTGTTAGCCGCCATCCATCCTCCAACCGCCTCCAGACACTCACACAGGACCTTCACCGCCTTCACTGGTTCTGATTTGAAAGTGAGGTAGAGCTGGCTATCATCCGCATACTGATGAACACCCAGCCCAAACCCCCTGATGATCTCTCCCAGCGTCTGCATGTAGATGTTGAAAAGCATGGGGGAGAGGACAGAACCCTGAGGCACCCCACAACTTTCTGATGGCAAGAGGAAGGTGGCAGACTCCTTCCTTGGAGGTTTCTATGCAGAGTTGGGATGGATGCTTTAGCGGCAATTTTTGCAAGGCAGGGGGCTGGGATGGATGACCCCCAGGGTCCCTTGCAGGTCCACCATTCTATGGCTCTATGGAGAAGGCAGGCGCAGTAGAAGAGGACACACCATTTCTTGGGTGCTGCTCCTCGTGGGGCAGTGCTGGGCCTTTGCCCCATTGACAGGCCCATCTCTCTCACTTGTGGCCTGGTCCACACGCCTCCCCCCTTTGAGGGAAGACCCCTTTCCTGACCCCTTCCTCCAAATAAAGAACCAGCCCTTCCAGCCAGCTTAGCCCAGCGTAGCTTGCATCCTGCAATCGCCCACAGCGGTTTGAAACCTGTGGGCGCTGCCTGGCTTCCCCCGCCCAGCTCAGTCACCCTCCGAGACACCCAGGCTCCTGAAGCGTCCCTGGATGCGCCCTGGTGCCAGCCGCCACACCCAGGCCTCGTGCCGGGATGGTCCCGCAGCCAGCCAGGCGTGCTGCCTCTCAGAGGCGCTTCTGCCGCCAGGTGGGAAGACCAGCCGAGCCTGTTTGTGGGGAGGAGGCCCAGCTGGGACCGGTTGAGCCGACTCCAGGGCTCTGGCCATGATCCTGAGTCATGCAGGGAGAGGACACAAAGCAACGCTCCACAGCCCATCTTTCTTCTCCTCTGTCTCGCCTTTGGGTCTCCCACTTGCGGCAGAGACTTCAGGGCTGCTTTGGCTGCAAAGGTTCCCCTGGCAGGAGGAGGGGGTCTCCTTGTGGGTGCCAGGAGCTTCCTGGGAGGGATGCAGGCACCCCTGGCTCTGCCAGCCTGCTGGAATACTGACCGCTCTCTGCCAGCAGAGACCCCCCCAAGCCTCTGCCTGCCTGTCGCAGGACCCTTCCCATGCCCTGAGTCTGTTGTAAACAAAATCTGCCCTTTTCCCCTTATGGGGTATCCAAGAGCCCATATAGAGTCCTTACGTGGGTTCCCTATTGGTAGGAGAAAACAACAGAGGCCAAGCAGAGAATATTGAGAAGCAAAGCAGCTCGTAAGCCTGATCTTTATTGATCTGTTGCAACAGGGTGCTCCCCGCACACGCAGGAAAGGAGGAGGGACCCCCAACAAAGGTGTGCCCGTCCTTATATAGACATTTTAAATTGCCCACCCTGGAGTCCAAGACCACCCCCAGAAACATCACACCTACATCACAGAAAGGGAGGTCTACAGCAGAAATCTGAGTGCTTTGTTTACCTCCTGTCTGACAGGTTACCTATTAATGCTCACTTGATTGGATACCCTGGGGAGCCTGGTCTGTCTTTTGTAAGGATAAATACTTAGTTCCTAAGCCAGGTCACAGGCTCACCCTATTCGTACACAGGGATGGGGAGGCTTTTCCGTTGTCCTTTGACCTTGCAGAGAAAACATTTGGTCAGTTTGGGAGCCAAAAATGGTTTCAGGTCGGTCTTCCTGTGCTGATTTATGTATGTGCTTGCTTGGTACATTTATGAACATTTATTATATATCTAAGACCTTAAGATTCTTATCACAAGCCCTTGGCTCATTAACTGGGGCTCCCTCGACTTGTCTCCCTTTGAGGGATGTGTTTCCCCATTTAGCTGCCTCTGGGAGTGACGTGAGCAGCCTCTGGGTCTCCTAAGCCCAGCCAGGCAGCCGGGGTCCCATCAAATGTGGAGAAGGCCATGCCCCAGGCAGCTGGAAAAGGGGTGCCGGGGGGGGGTGAGCAAGGGAGACTTCCTTGCAT